CAGAGAAAACCTCCAATTTTGAAAAAATACATGCATCCCAATGTTCATAGCAGCGATTATTTACAACAGCCAAGACATAGAAGCAACCTAAATGTCCATCGACAGATGACTGGATAAAGAAGTTGCAGGGGTGTGTGTGTGTGTGTGTGTGTGTGTGTGTAATGGAATACTACTCAGCCATAAAAATAATGAAAAAATGCCATTTGCAGCAACATGGATGGACCTAGAGAGCATCATTCTAAGTGAAATAAGCCAGAAAGAGAAAGAAAAATATCATATGATGACTCATATGTGGAATCTAAAAAAAAAAAGAGGGCATTAATGAATTCATCTACAAAACAGAAATGGACTCGCAGACATATTAAACAATCTTATGGTTACTGGGGAAAGTGGGTGGAAAGGGATAAATTTGGGAGTTTGAGATTTGCAAATGTTAGCCACTATATATATAAACAGATTTAAAAAATTTCTTCTGTATAGCACAGGAAACTATATTCAATATATTGTAATAACCTTTAATGAAAAAGAATATGAAAAGGAATATATGTACATATATGTATGATGGAAACATTATGCTGTACACCAGAAATCAACACATTGTAACTGACTATACTTGAATAAAAAAAAAAAACACTGTAGGAAAGAAAAAGCTGGAATGTCTTCTATAAAAGGCTGAGTTGAATCTTCTCTTGTATCATCTGAATCATGAAGACTAAGAGTGATCCTAAGAATACAGCTATGGAATTTCTGTCCAAGCCTCAAATGATTTTCAAAGGAATTTTCTTTTCCCATATGAAAAAAAGAGAGAACACTGGCACTTATTCAAATTCTGAAGTTCTGAAATTATAATTATATTTTTAAATTGCACTGCATTGTACACACATATAGCAGGCCATATTTATCCAATGAATAGGATGTTTTGCTTTAGCTTCAGTGATATAAAAATACGTATTAGATAAGCATAAGTTTTCTACCTTGTTATTAAACATTCCTTGAAAAAGAAAAAGAAAAAAAATTATAGGAAGGGAATTCTTTATGTAGTGCCAGAAAGTTTAGCAATATTGCAGTAACACAGAAAGTAGAAATTGTACCTAATGAATGAGGTGATCTAGGTAAGATTTCCAGACAAAATACTTAAGGTATTGCCTGTGCTTCTTTCTGTGAAAGTAAAATGTGAAACGAGAGAGGGGAACTAAAGAAAGTACTATTAAACAGTTGAGACTTGCTAGTTTTGAAAATTAACAACTTCTCCAGCTGGCGTACAATGTTAAATTAAGGAATCTTCCAGGCAAAGATCTGATCTAGAATACTACCAGGAAAATGTTGTCCAGGTGATGCTGAGGATGTGACTGTGAATGCTTTAGGACCTCAGAAAAATCAAACGTGGTGCCTCAAAGTACCATTCAGTCAGATAAAAGGCTCCCTAAACATTTTAAGAATGTCTCTTACAGATCCTCTCAAACAACAGGCCTTCTAAGAAGATTAAGGAACTATCTCTAGACATCTCAGCAAACGCCAAAGGTAGGGAAGGATTTACCTCCAAAGACTTGTGGGCATGGCTAATATCTAGCTGAATAAACCTCAAGTAAGAGTCACAGGAGATCCACAAAGATTTATAAGAATTACATGGGAAGAGAGGCCTTTGGATCCCCACATTTTCAGTAAAAGAAACAGGCTGAGAAAACTGCACAGGTGCTACCTGTTATGAAAAAGGATCAAGCACCCAGAGGACAAAGCCAAGAACCGCCAAGAATTACTCCCACGCCCAGAGTACTAATCAAGAAACTTTCAGTCTCAGTTCCACTGGACTGTAGAATTGCTGTGGACCTCAGATATCTGTGTGCCTCCCATCACCCTCCCCTTCCTTTCAAATAAGCCATCTTGGAAGCAGATTCTACACGCTCCGTTAAATCTTCAGATGACTGCAACCCCGGGTGAAATCTTGGCTATAACCTCATGAGAAATCCTAAGCCAGAACCACCCTTAAGCAGTCTCAAATTCCTAAACCACAGAAACTGTGAGATAAACGTTCTTTTAAGCCACTAAATTTGTGGGAGTTGTTTTTTACACAGCAATAAAAAACTAACACAAAACCACACCGTAAATTTCTCCTCACATTCTGTAGTAATAAAACATGCATCCAGACAGATACACCTGAATAAATCCTTTTTGTAGATGATTAAACAGTTTCCTATTTTTCGTTACCTTCTAAGAAAGCCAGAGTTGAATGCAGGGCTCAAATACAGTAACCAAATCATTCCAGGAGGATTTCCTTTTAACCGCTTTAGAGGTGTTTTAATGAACTATTATTATATACATATAGCATGGCAAATGATCTTAAGTCTTTTATTTCAATTAAGTGGAATACTAAATACTAAATATTATTCTCTAATAAATAATTCCCTTAATGCATATGTATTCAGAATTATATTGCCCATGGTTAGTAGTTAAATACATGCTAAAAAAGTTTTAATGCAAATATGACAAATGACAGAAAAATTATCCATTAACACAGACTTAATATAAAGGTGTTAAAGCAAATATTAAAGGATCACAGGCAATATATACTTAGTAAAACTACACATGTCACAGTACGTCCAAAACTATGAAGTATAGTCAGTTTTTTAAAATTAACCATGTTTCCATAACTTATTTTAAATAAACTTTATCTTAAATAAAACATTCATGAATCATGCTGTCAATGTTAGAATAGAATAAGAAAAATGAGAACAGATAAGAACAAGACTTACAGAGGAAACTCTCATTTATGAAAACAAAGAGAAAGATTTAAATAGCAAAATAACTGAGAAGTAAGACTCTATTTGGAAGATTCAGACAAGACCACAGAAGATCCACAGAAATCTTCTGACTTCTGTAATCTAATTCTACAGGTACAGGAAAACCAGGAAATAGATGTTTAGTATTAAAATGATTTAAGTATTCTTTAAATTCTGTTATAGAACTCAACTCTAGCTTATGTATAGATTATTACAGCAGGGCATATATGAATTTTATTCCTATGGCTGAGGAAAGAGTAGTTGTAGGATAAAATGAGAGATTTATACACTTTCCTTCTTTCTCTTTGTTTTCACTTTATAACACCCAAATTCTCTCTTGATTATTTTCAACATATTCAAATCATAAATATTCCTAAGAAGCCAATATAAAAATCTATAATAAAAGTCAACGTTTCCAATCTAATCCAGTTTAAAATTTTGTCATCTTCTGGGCCTCCTGAAGGTCCACTATCTTACTATTCATTTGGTAGTTATTTCCACATTTTACTGATATCTTTCAAATGTACATGTCACACAATTGTTTGCATCTTAAAATCAAGGACTAGGGGCCAAATTTTACATTTCTATATTTCAGTGTATAGCATAATTCCTTTCCCATGTCATGCATGCCATAAATATATGTAGATAAAATGAATCTTATATAGGCAAGTATCAACTTAAGAAATATATAATACATCAATTATCTAATTCCATACACCATATACTGAGAAATTACATTTTGAAAAATTACAGAATCTGATCCATATTACTCACTCTAGAAAGATTTATGTGTTTTATAAGGATGGACTCTTACCTTTACCAGAATGGCAGAATTGACGCAGATTGATTTGCTCCCTGCTTTTAGTCTTTTCTACAGAAAGTCCTGAATCATCAAAAGTTGAATGCAATGTTTCTTTGGAACTTTGTAGATTTACTTTTCCCTTATTAGAATCTGATGTCCTAGCCATTTCTAATTTCTTCTTAGAAAGTGAGTTCAGTGTGTTTGATTCAGAAAGTGGTGTACTCATAACTTTTTCTCCTACTGGCAAAGAAAACTGAGAATAACCAGGAGACATAAATTCTTTATTCTTCGCTGCACTCATGGGAAAATGTGCAAAAGTTGGACTTCGCTTATCTTCACTTGATGGGATAGTAATGGTTATACTTGTAGAACTATCAACATGACCTGTTGGTACTACTGCTTGATCTGAAACATAATTTGCATCACTTGTCTCCTTAGTATCTAAACATCTTCCAGAAAGACGATCTAAAAATTTATTCTTATTTGTATCTGGTGCATGTTCTAATATTTCATCATCAGAATCTGGACTACAAAATCCTAAATCAAAGGTAACAGAAAATAAATCCTTAGAGCAGTCAAAACCATATTCATCATTCTTCAGTTTTTCTTCGTGTACACCTCTCAAATCTTCATGAGATTTCCAATTATTAGTATCACAGATAATTTGATCTTGGGGTTCAGAATTATCATCTAACAAAAGTTCATCAGAAATGAAGAACTGAGAAACAGGTGCCACATCATTTATAGCATTTTTGTCTGACACACATAAAGATTTGCATTTACTATTCAAGGAAGAAAGACTCACATCATTAAACTCCGTATTAACATCATCAAATAGCAGTAAACTCTCATCCTGGTCAGTATGCAATATTGGGAGGCCATCGTTATCAACATCATGATTCTTCTCTTCAACAAAATACTTTGGAGGGCCTATGTTTATTTGCATATGATTGCTGGATACTAAATTTTCATTTTTAATACCTTTATGTACTTTATCATAGTCACAGAAGCTTGATTCATCAGAAATCTTATCATTAGTTGTACCATAAATGCAACTTTTTTCAGAAGGATGAGCAGTAAGTGAAAACTCTAAATTCTCTTGAGAATTTACAGCTGAATATGACATCAAACAGGTGGATTTATCCTTTTGTAAGTGCTCTGTGTAGGGTAGAAAAAGCAAGTTCTCAGGTGCAGAACCCTTAGCAATTTCATATTCCAAACATGAGAGTCCACTGAGAGGCGGAGGAGAATGGGATAAAAATTTCTCTACGTTAGCTAGTACCTCGCTTGTTAATGAATGACCATGATAAAATTGGTCATCTATTCCAGCTATATAAAGCTCATCCTCAAATGGAAGCAATAAAGTAGATGAAAGAGATTTCTCATCACTCAAGCTGTTATAACCAGAATCTGAATTTCCAGTAAATGAACTAGTAGATTTACTTGTAAACTGACATTCTGTCAATAATTCACAGGACTGATTAGCAACATTTTCATTGTTGGCACATGTGGCAGTAACTTCATCTGTATCCAATGTCCTTTCATCATTTAGTAGGTCTACCTGACAAATATTCTCAACAGTAGAATTGCTATCAGTGACTAACGGCTCCATGACAACATCCTTTTTTGTTTTTTAGGTTGATCTTTTTTAAGTTCTTTAGATGCTTTTTTCTTTAGAGAAACAGTTTTAGTAGGTTTGATACGAGTTTGTTTAAAAACTTCAGCACATTCTTCACTGGATTCTGTCATCGAGAATGATTTGCCTTGATTTACATTCTTTGTAAATGAAGATTTCTTGTTACTAGCAAAGGTTCCATAGGCAAAAGGATTATACTCATGCCTGGGCACACTAGATGTTGAGCTAACATCTTCCATTTGTAAATAAGATTTAACTTCGAATTCATAACTGCATTCTCCCTATAAAGAACGAAAATGAAAAAGTCACAGGGAAACAAAACAAAAAAGCCAATTTTATGAGATAAATTTTACTCAGTTAAAGTATTTTCTAAGCAATATTACATTATTCAAATGATTTTCTTTTATACCTTAAAAAATTATTCTAAGTCAAACAAAATTAGAAATGACACTACTGTGAAATGATCATAAATTATCTTTAATCAGTTAGTATTTTTATATTCCCAGTACCTAATACATGGAAGACCCATGATAACTATTTGTAGAAAGAATTTAATGAATATATAAAACAAGATTATAAACACTAATTTTTTTCACTTCTAACATTTAATTGAATAATTATTCTAATTTCCTAAAAATAGATATTTAAGAAATTAATACAAATAAATAAAAAATATACATACCTGTATTAGATTTACTCTCTTGATGAAGGTAAAACTAAGAACAGCTTATAGAACATCTGAAATAAATGTACCTGTTTGTCTACTAGGCTGTAGGCTAGAATATACTATTTTTAACAAATTCCCCAAGAACTCTTGCAGTAAATGTCCCAGTCTTAGTTATCTTTAAATCTAAAACTACAGTCCCCACCACCCCTGACACATCCTTCCCTCTCACCCATGAATGCCACTTTGGTCAGGATTCCTCTACTAATCAGGGACTTAAGCAGTTAATTCTCCACTTTTTGAATAATAAATACAATAAATATTAATGTGGGAATGTCTGTCTCCCTGCCAGTAAATATGTTCCCCATAAACAGAGTATTTTATCTGACTTCTTCACCAATGCAGCCACAGGGCCTAGAACAGACCATGCCATACAGAAGGCACTAAAAAATGTGTTAATTTGATGGCACAGGCTTTCCTGAGATTTACAAATAATTACTTTATTTTCATGAATAACAGCTAGTAACAAAAATCGCAGCTACAGCCTATTGAGTAGTTACTATGTGCCAGTTACTATTCTAATTGCTTTACATGTATTAAGTTATTTAATTCTCACAACAACCTTATGAAGAAAGTATTATCATCATCCCCATTTTACAGATGAAACTGAGGCACCGAGAGGTTAAGTAACTTACACATGCACAATTACTAAGAGGTAAAGTTGGAATTCGAACCCAGCTATTTTGAATTTCACAATCGTAACAAGTTCATCATTCTAACTCTCTCAAGGAAGAATAACCAAGAAACTGCTCGAGGAATCACTAACTCTCTAAACCACCACCAGGATATAAGAGACATACCAAACGACCTATACGACAGAGAATACAATAAATCCCAATCTAACAAGAATCCTAAAATAGCTTTATAAACATTTTACATAAATCATTAAGTATAGTAAAACTTTGACTCTAAGTCTATCAATATTTACAGATGATGTTCTTCTAATTAGGTCTACTTCTCCTAAGACAGAAAACTGGTTCCTTACTGAGATCACAAGGAGCTATCTAGAAAAACAAAATAGTCTAGCTCTGATTATAATTAACACTTGTTTCTTACAGTAATTACTTCAAATTAAGAAGAATAAAGATGAAGTATTCTAGTTTCACTATCATACCAGCAAGAGAAAGTTACAGTAGAAGCCTACCTCTTCATGTCTCATTCCTTCTATCATTTGCATAATGTTGATGAAATGGTGACATCGATCTGAATGGTCAACTTGATACGTAGGCAAAGGATGATCCTGCCACAGTCTCCATTCAGAGAGAGAGAGTTGATGAATTCCAGTGGTTGGTTCTTGAGTCTGATTAATGATTTTTAACATAATAAAAACACACATATTCAGATTCCACACACTGATTTTAAAGAAAGTAATTTCATGAAGTATAAAGATGCCCTTTTAAATACATTTTAAAAATCACTGTTACATGTATTGCTTGTAAAATTGGAAAGAAAACAATAAATCTTATTAAAAATGAAATAAATAAGTAAATGTTACATGGGTAGCTCTTGGCCAAATTCCCATTTATATAGTTCCAAGTTAAGAGCAAATATTTAAGAAAATGTGTGACTTGAAAATTACTGTTTTGCCAGATTTATATTCTACAATCTAATAAAGAGGCATTCATAACCTCTCAGTAATACTGATCCCAATTCTTCGTGGCTGCTGCCATTCCTGACTTTACCTGTTAGTGAATAAAATACAAAATCTGAAGACCCATATATTTCAAGCCCTATAAATCTTCTAAATGGAATCTTTCCTGAGGTTGTTTTTCTAGTTCTCCAGGTGTATATGTGACCCCTAATCAACTCTCTTGACTTTCATTAAGTTCATCAATAACTTGTTCAGAATAAACAAAATAAACAACATTCAATTTAAAGTTCTACTGTAATTTCAAAACAAATATTAAAAACCAGTTTGCTAAAAAAGTTTGTACAAAGATTCTCATGACAGCAAATTTTATATTAGTAATATATTGAATAACAATCATATAAATTATGCCTACATAAAAACGTTTATATGCAGATATTAATAAAGACAGAACTAATGTAAATATATTAGTCATGTAAATATATATATATAATAAGGAATATAAGAAAATTAGTCGTTTTACCAAGTTAGACTTTAATATTCTTTTTTAAACTGCTTACATTCTCAATTTTTAATTAAGTTGACGTTCTGATCATGAACATTCACCTACTGCATAATCACTATAACGAGTATCTGAAAACATGTTCAACTTACTTGTCTGTTCTCATTTTGTAAAGACAGAAATTGAACTTGAGGCAATGTTATTTCCTTAATTCCTTCACTGTCTGTTAATCTGTATCGTCTGTTCCATAATTTAAATTCTTCTTCAGATAAGAACCAGTCTTTCTTTGAATTACTTTGCCTCATTTCTGTAAGTTGAAAAAAAATAGCTGAAAAGAGGTTTAAAAAAATCTGCTAGGCAAACACAAAATATATGACATCAACTCAAACTCTACCTGTTTGTCTCCTCATCTCTGCCAAACCACTGATTCTATTCCTTAAAATTAGTTTTCTTCATATAATCACTATCACTTCTCGCTTCTACCTATCTCCTAAGCTTCTCTCATCTCTTTGAAAGTACTAGTCCACCCTTCTGTCTAGAGCTAATCTTTGGTAATGACTTCTTCATTAACAAACAGCACAAGGTAACTAGGCTCTCAGTCTTAGCTTCTTTGCACTCTCTCTATTTTGCTGTCTAAGATCTGGCAGGAAACAGATAACTTACAAATGAAAACTCATACCATGATTGTATCATAACATTATCAGATAAGTTTTGTGAAACTGGTGGGGAGTGCAGAGACGCCAAGACTAAAAAGGGTTTTTGGCTTAAGTCTTAAATAGGGAGGGTGGGAGAGGGGTGAAAAGGGGGCAGGAAAGATCTACTACTTTAAAAAAAAATATTTTTTAAATGTATAGTAAATTAACCTTTTTTTATTTCCATAATCTCTATAAAGGAAAATAATCACCAACATGGAAAGGATTAAAAATATAAAGCACTAACTCTGGTCCCAGTACAGATGAGAGTAGGAAAAAAAAAAAGACTACTGAATTAGCAACCAGGGAATTTCTGTCTTAGCAATTCCCAAATACTACATAGGAAGAGACTTCTGTAAAATAAGGGGTTCGAATTAGGTGATCTCTCAGGTCCCTTTCAGATCTAGCAATCTGAGATGCTAAGACTTTTGAAATAGAAAGGTATTCCATTCTCCTAGTTACTTAAAATAAATTCAGACCTCTAAGCCCAAATGAATTATATACCAATATATAGAACATTACATTTATACACTCTATCTTGGCAGGATGAATCACTGACACTTGAAAAATTGGAGAGAATGGAAGGAAAAAGCAAACAAACATAAGTTAATATTTTTTTAAGGCAGATTCTAGAATTTTACCATCCATCCCTAGTAATATTTTAGAAATAATTATGAAACATACAGTTAACACTTACAAAAATAAAATGATCACTAAGAAAAATGTATGCCAACCAAAATGAAGTTTTGATGCTATTATTAGTTTAATAAATTCAAAAGAATTCAAAATACATTTTCATTTTAACCAAAAATTTGGCAAAGTCTTATAAAATGACAGGCATATTCCTGTTACATGGACTTGCATTAGGTTTAATAGGCACACTTTTGCACTGATTAATGGCTCTGAGTTAAGGGAAAGAACATTAACAAATTTAAGTGAATCCAAAGCAGGTGACTAGAAGGGAAAGAACTCTGAAACTTCATGGTATGAAACCAGTTGAGAGGTACTATCTTCAAATATAAAAAGAACTGCCACCTAGGTGAACCAAGGATCAAAACTATTCTTTGTATCTAGAAGCTATGGACAAAGGAAGTCCCCTACCATTTCAGTAAACAAAGGATGTTGGGGCCATCAAGCCAACAGCCACTGCAGCTGCCCCGAAAGGGGTTCAGTACAGAGAAAACCAGGATACTGGCCCCAGATGGTTAAGATGTATATCAAAGGAATAATTTCAATAAGCCCAATTCTTGCATCTTCCCATCATGGAAAAGCACTAAAATCATTAACTTGAAATGTCTGTTTTTTGTGATTAGCAGTAATCTTTTGATGTTACACTGAATGGGTTTTTTTCCCCAGCAAAAACTCCTATATACCCTGGCTCCTCCCCTACCTCTTTGGAACAGTTCCTCAGAGCTATATGAGAGGCTGCCTTCCTGGGCTGTAGTCCTCATTAATGCCCCATATGAATTATTCTCAACTTTTGAGTTTTGTTTTCTTTTTTTCAGTCGACAAACCCAAAACTAAATCAATGAGTATAAGGTTCAGAGACAGGTGTTTTTTCAGCAGAAAGACTTTTTCTTTATGGACTATTCAACAATGGATGAACTGTCATAAAAGAATATAATTTCCATTACAGAGATGTTCTGTTGGGGCTGGATATACATTTAACAAGAATGCTGCAGAAAATATTCCTACCTTGATAGGCAATTGGTCAGATGACCCCCAAGGTTTCTTCCAAATCTTAGACTCTTAACTACATTATTTTATGATTCTTTAAAGCCTTCCTTAAAGATAAGCAAAATTCAAAAGAAAAACTTTTTGTTTCTCATTTTTATAGTGCTAATGTTTTAAGGTATTTTCTTGCTATCACCAAAATCTCTGTATTCTTAAGCTCTCATACTCTGCTCCCTGGCACCAAAGTATTTGTTTCTCACTGACTTAATATCACCAATAACTTAGTCTAACTTCACCACTATCTGGTGTAACGATAAATTAAAAAAAAAAACTCTCCTTTGCACAAAGGGAAAGAAACCACTCCCCCTCCCTTTCTAGGAGCAATTCTAGCGACACCTAATGTTTGTAATCCTTTCTTTAACCCTTTGATACGTATGCAAATCTTTGTAAAGGCAAAGCTAGCCTCTAGCCAGCTTTTCAACCAGAAATGATTTCTTAAGGATAGAGGAACCACCTCTTTGAAGTGTAAACATCAAGGAAGATAGTGTCCCTATCTCCTAGACAACAGGGAGAGTAGCCCTGACATTTTCTCTGAGCTGTCCCTATCTACTTGTCATAGAGACAGAAGTTTTATTATTTCTTTGGATGAAGTGCAACTAGCTAACACAAATGGATACCTCAATTACCAGGGGAATTTGGAGTGAAATATGAAAGAACATACAGCAAATGGTGCTACCCTCTTATATGAGGACAAGTTACTGTTAATCTTAAGAACCTGTATGTAAAGGATTTGTAACTGCTTGGGAGAATGAAGAGGACAGAATTTCTTTCTGTCTTTGTATTGTCTTAGTGGATGGATTACAATGTACATTGTAATACAGTTTAATGCTTATTCAATAATAAAATGATTTTTCTTCTCTACAATTGTAAAAAAGATTCTCTAGGTTGGTAGGATATTTAAAATTTTCCCAACACTGGGTTTCTATCACTCTGTACTGTCAGTGTCTCCTTCCCTTTGCCACATGAATAATCTCTTAACCTTTCCAAAGGGGACACCCATAACATCCTAAATGTATCAATATATGTCCTGCTAACTAACAAGAGAACAAATGTATGTCTCAAGTGCAGAATTTTTTATTTACCATTCCTATGGGAAAAGACAGATGACTTTCGCTGCAAATTCCGAGAAGGCTTCTCTGGTTCAAAGACACCATGAGTGATGAACATCTTATGTAATTGTGGATTGATTCCATCAGGAACCATTCGTGGACTTCCTTGGTAAAAATGAAGGACCTGCTTGTTACCTGAAATAGCTTTATAAATACTTCTTTTGTTGGACTGACTTTGATTATAAGTCTGCAAAAACAAATAAATGTCATATTACATTATTTCTGTAATAATCACTTAGCCATTACAGGCAATTATTATTATTAGTCTGAGTTTATTCTAAACAGTAAAATAAACTCTGATCCACTTAAATACTTGGAGGATAAAATACCTGTTGTCTTAAATTTGAAGCCTGTTCAATTAACTCGATGAAAATCATTTCAAAATTTATTATTATAAAAGCTTACCTTCAAAAAAAAAGCTTACCTTTGTAAATAACTCTACTGTACAAAGGAGATCTATCTTTAGTATCTACTGTCTTTGAATAAGGCTGATATTTACATATAAGTGTAAATTTCTTTTTGAATACTATTCTGGTATTTCAGCTTGTTCATCTCTCTACATGCCAGTTTTCTTTACTGTGTGTAAGAAAACTATTAGTACTCCGCTTACGTGGTTGTTGACAGGACTAAATAAAATAATGCAATTGAAGCACCTGGAACATTGTCCAGCCCAGAGTAAGTACTCAATAAATGAAGACTGTTATGACTATTTAACAGATAAGAAAACTAACACCCCAAAAGAAAAGTTAAATGATTTCCCTACGATAATATAATTAGTTAGAGCCAATTCCATTCAGTGATAATACAGACTTTTAAAAGCAACACACATCTCATTTATTGGGATCATTTTATAGATAAACTGGATGTTACATAAGAATATGCTTATCACATGAAAAGTATTGGGTAAAAAGAATTCATTTTTCAGGATGATTCTTAAAGGATTTATAAAATATTTTAAATCAAATGTTTAAAACTATCATAATTAATGAAAAAGTCTTTACTTGGTATAAAATGTGAAACTATTTACTTGGCCACAGAAAGAGTCACACTGAGTTACAAAAGTTAGTTAATGCTTTAGTGTGTCACAAAACAATATTATGTACTACATCATATTTAGGAAGGCCTGTCACCCAAGATTACAGCAAAGTATGAACATAATTCAAATCCTTTATCACTTAGAATAGGCATCAGCAAACTTTTCCATAAAGAGCCAGAAGGTAAATATTTCAGGGTTTGCAAGCCACACATTATCTCTGGCTGATATTCTCGTTGGTTGGTTAGTTGGCTAATTGATTGATTTAGGCAACTCTTAAAATGTAAAAAACCATTCTCAGCTTCACTGTAGTAAAAAACAAACAACAACCAACAACAACAAGAGAACAATTTTAAAAACCCTAAACTAAATACAAAAAAAGGGCCTTAGGAGCATAGAGAAATAGTAAGAAAGAATAATACATATTGATTTTGGTATCTAGGGGCCTCTAAATTAATACTGAAGTACCAAAATGTGTTTCTTTATATGGATAAAAATTATAAAACTGAATCCAGTCAAAAATTCTCCCAATTACAAGAAAAGAGTAGGCAGAATTTAACACAAAAGGAAATAAAAATCAATCACAATTACCTACAGATTGTTTGGACTCTGAATGTTAATAGATTGATATTTGTCTTTAGGCTCTATTTCTCAAATTTCAAAGATAAAATTACGTTTCTACAAGTCTACTTACACGTTCTTCTCGTCCTTCTGCAAGGATAACAACAATCCTGCCTTGACGTTTGCGGCCAGTTCTACCCATTCGTTGTACAAGACGAATTGGGCTCTTCTGGGCATCAAAACATATTATAAGATCAACTTCTCCTATATCCAAACCTTCCTCCCCAACACAAGTAGAAACCAATGTATTGTAACCACCGCTACGAAATTGTTTCACTACCTGAAATTAAAATGATTTAAAATTAAGTAGATGCAAGCATAAGAGAATAGTAGATCAAAGCATACTTTTTCCATTTGCCCCAAAATGCTCAAACCAGATTAAAAATCAGCACCCAGGATACCATCGAATAGGAAAAGCAGCAGCAAAATGGCAATACAAGCCAAAAGAGATGGTGGTAAAATGCAAAGGGCACTCCTAATTCCTTTGCTTTAATAATGGTTGTGATTCTAAAAGGGCTGGTTAACAATTTACACATAGATAACAGTATTTTTAACATCACTAAAAAGAGCATAAGGCAGGTAAAATAGCCCAGAGCAATTACTGCTATTATCATATCATAGACCTAAATTTATTGTTAGTAAATTTAACGATAATAGTAAATTTAATAGTTAAACTATTGTTAGCTTAAAGTAAGAATGTTTTATTACTCCTAGAATTCACATCTTACTTTTTGTATTGTCATTCTGGTGAAGGGGAGCAGAATATGCCACCCTAAAATATGACTGTAGGTGTTTAGAACATGCTGCCCCAAACTATGCTGCTTTGATATATTGATTATTTTGAGCTGCAGGCTTCCTATCAGCATACCGTTATACAGCTCAACACGAAACAAACAAAAACGACTTCCATCTCTGCTCTCTTTTACAGTAAAAATCCATGAAAAACGTATGTACTTGCTATCTTCAGCTCTTCTCAGTGGTGGCTTCTCTCACCATTCCACTGAAAATGTTTTCAAGGTCATTTGTCACCTCACCTCTTAATCAGATAGTCAATTCGCAGTTATTATCTTGTATGACCTACCAGCAACATTTATACATGTCATCACTTCGTCCTCCTCATTTGGCCCCAAGATACCACACTCTCCTGCACTTTCTCCTATTTCACTAGCTACTTATTCTGGTTCCCCAGGGCTCAGTCTTTGGACATCTCTATCTTCATTCAACCACCTGGTAACTTTATCCATTCTCATCCATTCTCATCTATACAATGATTCCCAGCTATATATTTCCATTAATCCCTGAACCCATGAACTCAAGACTTAAATATTCAATTGTTTATTCAACACCTCTGTTTGATGTTTATAACAGTGTTACTCAAAGTGCAGTCCATCTACTATTTATTACTGATGCTGGTACTGGTTCACAAACCATTTATTACTGACTGACAAGACCAGAAAAATTAAGACTAAAGGTTTAGAAACTTGACAGAGTTATTCTACATTTGTTGACTCTAGTAATAAAAAAAAAATTTAGGCAAGAACTTTGTTTTTCATTAATTTTACTTTTCTAGTTATTCAGTTTTACTGTAATGTTCAGAGGTATCTCTCTGTAACATAGTAGGAGGAAATAAACTGGTCCTCCATCAGTTTTTTCCTTGCTGTTTTTATTTTTTCAATTGAAGTATACTCAGTTACAATGTGTCAGTTTCTGGTATACAGCATCTCCATCAGTTCTGACAGTTTGAAAACCACTAATCTCAGAGGCAGGCCAAGGTTAGCTTGTCTAAAACCAAGCTAAAATTCTCTACAAAACTTGACTTTCCTGTGGTCTTACCAATCTTAGTTAACAGCCACTCTTTTCAGTCGGTCAGGCCGAAAACCTTGGAGTCAGCCTTCACACTGCCTTATCACATCCTACTCTAAGTTGCCAATAAGTGCTGTCAGCTTGACCTTCAAAATATATCCAGATCCCAACCATTTTCTCATAACCTTCCCTGCTAAAACCCTAGTCCAAGCCACCATCATCTTTAGCTTGAAGTACTGTAGTAAGTCTTCCAATTCCTCCTGTTTCCACCCTTAGCCCCTGTGGTTTATTCTTAAGATAGCAGCCAATATGATCCTTTCAAAATATCAATCAGGCCATGACCCTCCTCTGCTCCAAATTCTTCCCATCCAACTCAGAGTGAAAACCAAAGTCATTAAAATGGAAATGACCTACAAGGCCCTAAACAATCTGGTCCCCCAACTTTCTCTCTGACTTCATCACCTGTTTCTAAGCAAATGAATAGTTCAATTACAACTACTTGCATGAAAGCTTATTTCAGAATAAAAGTGCTGTTATGAAAGTAATTATGTATAGGAGTAATAAAAAGGGTTGTTACCCTGGCCTACATTAAAATATTATTGATAAAAATGAGTAAAAGACAAAGTCAATAAAATCTATGTTTCTTATTGTAACTGACAAACTCAGGAAATGACTTTAGGTAATAATGAAATTGGTCACAGACCAGGTTGGGTTCTATGAGTATTTCAAAATGCTTGACCTCCTAGGCAAAAATCCACTTCTTTTTTCATTCATATATAAATGCTAACATTAGTAATAATTACCCACTAGATGCTGAACCCTTTAAAGTACTTATTAGAGTTGAGATAGGGAAAAGTGTTACATCCAGACTCAGGAAAACTTCTTAGACTCTCTCCGCCAGATCCAGTCTGCTTAAACAGACTCTTCTGAGTGCAGTGAGGACTGGTAAAATCTATTAATGTTGACAGAATCAAAAAAGTATCCTTCATAATGAATTAGACATTAAAGACATGCCTAACTGACAGAGGCTACTCAAGTGTACACCTATAGCTAATCTGCAAAAACCTGTATATGGTTTATAAAATCAAGAGTCTAAAATTTCCAAAAAAACACATCATAGTTATCAGAAAATGTATGACCTCTATTCAGAGCATACAGCTACCTTAGATACCACCATGGTTTCTTTCCTCTGACCATATTTTTAAGTTAAGATTTTTAAATAACAAAAAAAAAGTGATAAGCTCATTATTTGTTTGGAATAAATAATTAAAGTGACTTAAATAAATAGTAAATACGGATTGAAGGCTCTACAGTATGGTTTCATTTAATGCTTACAGTAGCTCTGTGAAGTATGCTTACAGATAAGAAAACCTGAGGCACAGGAAGTAAAGAATTTCCAAGTGGAAGAGCCAGGATTCCAACCTACATAGTATGATTCCAGGGCCTTTCTGCTTCACCACACTTCAAAAAGAAAGTTTCAAAACCACAAAAAAAATACTTTTTTGGACTTTCAAAATATACCTAGTTTTATTTACATATTTACTATAAAATTATCTTTATGATGTAGCCAACTGACCAGTGAGTTAAAACAGAAAAGGTCTAAGTGCAAAGCTAATCAATTTTATTTTAATAATCATCATCTCCAGAATAATTACCTCCAGTTGCTCCTTCTGGGTAAAACCCTTCATGCTTTTCCCTGAGGCATGGCCAACAAAAGTCATGACTCTAATAACTGGCTGATGCTGTAAAAGCATTTCTGCAATTTCTTGAACACTATCTCGAAATGAAGAGAAGATCATAACTCTGGTCTCATCACATTTCTTTTCAGATCTGTTTTGAGCTACATAAAAAAAACTTTAATTACAACTTTTTAAAAAGCACACAGGTAAGAACTAGTTGAACAGATAAGCCTGAAACTTAATACTAAGGAATGACAATTCTTTCAAAAAAATAATTTCAGGCATCTTAAACCTTTGCTGGTTTCCCTCCTACCTTTTCTAATAATCTTAATAAACTTGGCTCCCTATCTCTCATTGGCTGTCATAAAATAAAACCCTAAACAAATCAAATAAAAATTACCTCTGACCAGTCCTTCAGTTCATGCATGATGCCTGCTATTCCCCTTTACCTTTTAAATCAGCAGCACAGGACTGCAGAGCTCCCACTGCTTTTGTAAATCTTCCCTTTCCTTTCTGCTCACTAAAGGCACTCTCTTACTGCAGGCCATGATATCCTGTCCTCAAATTACTGACACTTTCAGATTCTCCAAGGAAAGCTGCAGAATATAGCCTACAGTCAATCACCAGCCTGCTCCCAATGTCTCTCTGCCTCTTGAGAGGCAGAAGAATGCATGAGTAAGAACATGATTTGGAGGCTGGGCCATTCACTCTCTTTAAGCTTTAGTTTATTCATATCTAAAATGGACTGAGGTAAAGATTAAATGAAATAGTAAATATAAAGTATGTAGACTTGCATATAGCAATTGGTTAGTAATTGCAAGTTGTGCGGGGCTTTTTGTTGTATTTGTTTTCTTTTGTTTTTAACATTGTACAGGATGACTTTGACAATCCTTCTTTGTTAAATATGACTCATATTATATCAATCATCATGTGTATGCCAGGGATTACACTAAGAATTTATATATTAATTTAGTCTTTATAGCAACCCTATGACTTAAATGACTTAGTACATACAAAGTTAATGTTCAGTACATAAGGAAAAAGAGCTGCCATTGCAAGGAAAATTATTCCAGATTAAACCTTTGAATCTCCATAGCATCAAGCCTCTACATCTGACCAGCTCTTGATCAATAGCTATTTTCAGTGCAAAGCTATCTCCTTCAACCAGCCACAGCCTGCCTTACTATCTTCATTCCACTAAAGCTCCTCTACAAAAGTCGTCAATAACTTCTATGTTGCCAAATTCAATGGATGCTTTTTGGTTCACCTGACCATACTTCTCACAGTCCACTCCTTCCTATTGAAATAGTCTCTTCCCTCAGTGTCTCTGATACTTCACTTGTCTGGTTTCTTTCTCAGTCTCCTTTGTGGCATTTCTCCCTCTGAACTCTAAACGCTGGTATTCTGCAGGACTAATTCTAGACCCACTCTTGTCTCTATAAATTGTATTCCTGGTGATATGATCACATCCACTCCTGAAACTTTAAATACTGCCTTTATGATGATAACTCCAAAATTTATTCAGATATACGTAAACAGATAAAAATAGAGCAGACCATTCTTCTAAGATTCAGATTCACTCATCCAACGCCTACACATCCCCACTTACATGTCTCAAAAGCATCCTAACATTTGCTTTTTCTCCTCTATGTTGTTCTTAATTTTCTCTTTGCTCATGTATTCATCTGCAAATACACACAGACATACCCTTAACCCAATGATTCCTTTTATTTTCTCATACCCTATGTCCAAACCATCAACAAATATTGTTGGCTCCAACATCAAAATATATTTAGAATCTTCTATAACCACTTCTCATCACTACTACTGACTTGTACAAGCTACCATCATGTTATCATCTTAGACTATTACAATAGCATCCTAATTGGTCAATGTCTACTTTCCACAAAACTACCAGAGTAATCTTTTTAAAATGTGAATGCAAGTCAGATCACGTCACTCTGCTGCTTTGAATGCCTCTGGTTTCACAAAGCCCAAGCATTCATAGAATAAAATCCAAAGTCTTGACTTGACCTACAAACTCTGTGTGATCTTGCCCCTGGCTACCTCTCCAACCTCTGCCTATACCACTCATCCTCATTACACTACTCCAGCCAAACTGGTTTGTTTACTTAATCTCACCAAGCACTCTACTGCCTCAAGGCCTTTGAATCTGCTATTCTCTCTGCTTGGAATGATCCTCTTAACAGAAATCCACAAGGCTTGCTGCCTCATTTCATCAGGTAACAGCTGAAATATTACCCTGCAGAGAGGCTTTCTCTAAAACCCTATATAAAACAGCCTCCTTCATGACTCTATTTCCTTACCTAGTTTACTTCTCCCTACCATTATATTATGTATTGTTTTACAATCTGCTTCCCTTATATTGCCCCAGACTGACTTTTCTTTTTCACATAATACCTATTCTTATTCCTACCATCCCTCTGTCCCATATCCTCCAAAAATTTTTTAGCTTTTTTATATTCATTATAAAAATCAATATGAAATAATGAATAATTGAAAGCCCACCTTCTCCATAAGAAATGTTAGCACAAACTAATGAGTCAGAGTTTTAGCTTTTTCAGTAACTTTGCTTGCCTTGAGGCTATTAAATATGACCTACCATTCCATGACTTGAAGTGTTCAACTACAACTTCTTCTAATTTCTTTAATTTTGGATGACTATAGCAGAATTTTTTATCTTTATCTCCTGGGGGGGAAAGAAAAAAACGAAAGCAAAACAAAAAATAAAACTTTTTTCTGTATTTTTCCATATTGAATTACATTACTGTATTTTAATTATCCTTTTCAAAATGGATTTGTGAAAACTTGCTTTCTTCTCTTTATTTAAACATTAAGTAGCACCTGAGTAGCCCATAAGCCTTACTATAAAATAAACTTTAAATTTTTATGAAAATTTCATACTGTGAAAGAATCCAACTGGGAATCAACAACAAAGTAGAAGGGAAAAAGTCATTTAGTTAAGCTATAAATCAGTTTTTGGTAGCTTTGAGAATTTTCACTACCAGGAACAACTACTACTAACTTCTACTATATATTTAAAGTTTACAAACTACCTGAATGTGTATTTATTCTAAATTAAAGAATAAAATCTGTTAACATTTAAGAGATCTATTGCTACAGAAATTAAAGTAGATATAAATAGACATGTGGATCAGTGGAGCAAAAGTTTAAAATTAACCTTGATAAAGAGGAAACAATATAAAATTTTAAAAGAAAATCCAGACCTTTTTGGATAGCAGAGATGCCACTTGCCGAAGAACTACGTGTATGTGCAAATATGCACTCTAGATGATTATAGAGTTTCATGAAGGCCTCATTTCTGCTAAGTTCATTTTTAGCCCGAGTCATTCCTTCAGAAATTAAGAAAATATTTTCCCAATAAATAAATTTAATAGAAAAACAAATCAAAGATATTATTTATTTAAAAGAAATTAAACTTAAGCAAGGAAAGTAAGTTTTTTCAAATTTAAAAATGAAAACCAGCAAATTTTTCCAGTTCCACATTCGTATGTATTAATAAGTGGGCTTGCTTTTTTCCAGCAATTTATCAGAATCAAAGAAACATGGGCTGGCACCTTGATCTTGGACTTTCTAGCCTCCAGAACTGTGACAAATATATAAAACGTATGTGTGCTATTTAAGCCAAAAAAGGAAAAAGAAACAAATATGGCCATTTGTTACATAACTATTTCATTGTTTTTTTTAAAACGATCACCTAAGTAACCCAAAGATCAATATATATCTTTAACCAAAATAATACATGTCAGCATTTCTTTAAATAACTTCATATAATTTACCTTTAGTTCCATCCATAATTCCACAAAGGAAGAAGTATAATGATCTCATTCCCATTTGCTGCAATAATTCATAACCATGGTATAAACTAATACAAATAGCAAACTCTCCTTCGATTATGCCTTGTTGCATTCCCTGGAAAAACAAGCATATATCAAATTTACACAGAGAAAGAAATGAGGATACATGTTCCATGTAGAACTTAATTGGTTCATAAACTGACTGTACCTCAATAAAAAATTTAAAAAAAATTTTTTAAAGAACTTAATTGGTTCTATTAAATGTCATAAGATGCTGGTATGGAAAGGTGTCAATGTATTTTCCATATAAAATCGCCCCTTCATTTTTTTTCTTTTATTCAATAGGAAACTTATTTTTTAAATATTTCTCCTCCTTCATTTATTCTCTTTATCATATGCTGGTTTTCTTTATAGGTAAATTATTAGCAGTATATAGATTAATTTGGTCTTTCAGAATTATTTAATGAGTACCTACTATATACAAAGCACTGAGCTAGACATTTGGAATACAGGGAAAATAAGTCAGATGTGCCTAGCCTCATAAATCAGGACAAATATGTAATCAAATTGTTTAACATTAACATTTAACACCAAGTATACATTCCATAATAACATCGGACACTGAGCACCAGACACTGCTATAAGCACACTGTTTACACAAACTTATTTAATCTTAATACCTAGGAGGTAGGTACTACTGTTATGCCAATTTTACAGATGTGGAAGCTCATACACGTGGTAAGCAGTAGAACCTGTATTTGAACCCAAGAAACTGGACCAGTGTTCTTGTAATTTTAACCACTATTCTCATGTTCCTTTTATGGACGCATACAATGGGTGTATCCATACGGTAAGACAGCTTTAAAAGAAGGCCATTGAGAATATATTTTATTTTCCTTTATTAGAGATGAAGACTATTACTCTATACCTAACATTTTTAATAGCATTTAATATCAGTTATAGTCATTTTAAATGCTTCCAGGATAGTGATAAATGCCCTAGTGCTCGCTTTGGCAGCACACATACTAAAATCGGAATGATAGTGATAAGTGCCCTAAAATGGCACCCTAATGACGTAAAATGGTAAAACAACTTATCTGTAAAACATAAACTCTCATCAGTAAGATCAAGTTCAATGGATTCAGATTTATAATTTTAAGTTTCAGTGCACCTTCAACTCCCAGCTGAAATTGTAAAACATTTTATTAAAGTTTAGTGTAATATACTGCAATGTCACAGAAAACTCCCTTTGTGGTTCCCCAGATACTACAGAATAAAGTCTGTATTTCTGATAACATTTAAAGCTACTCCCGTGTGGTCACAACCCAGATTAGCTATCGTAGCTGGCTTCCTCAATCCTTTACCTCAGCCAAATTGGCTTGCTCACTGTCTCCTTCAGACTTTCGTTCAACTGCCTCTGTTCTTTCGCACTGCTTTCCCTCTCGGTTCCAAGAATGACTTAGTGCCTTTTTGTGCTTATGAGCATCTCTTTTGACTTTGGATCTAACTTGATGTTTTGTTCCTATCCACCTATTTCTTTTCTATGAAGATTAAAAATAAAAAGCTTCCTGTGATGCTTCCTCCAACCTTGGTATGGAGAATTAAGACTAAATGCTATGGGTCTAAAAGTTAGTTAAAATACATCTTCTTAAGACCCTTCAACTTTGCAAAAACATAAATGAGCTAAGAGGCTAATTCTTAGTTAAAATTATAAGATAAATTTATCTTAATTCACATCATTAAACTGTATTCCTGCTAGATTTTTTCATGGTTTTATAAACTACATAAATCATACCTGAATTCTTGATGAGATAGTATATACCAAAAAACAATCATTATTTACATTTCATCCTGGCTCTGAGTAAAAATTTAGTCTATCATCAAAAGTTATTTTAAAATACCTACCACAATATTTGGAGATGGGTTTTTCCTAAATTGATCTCTTGCTAGAATTATCTGGTATTTTGTTAGATTGGGGATATCCCTTCTCATCAGAACATTCCTCTGAATCAAAGAACTGGCAAATGCTTCCAAAATCTGAAAATTTCAAAGAAATGTTGTTTAAGTTTTAAAATCCTTTTCCAAATACAATCACTTCCTCACATAATAAAATAGTTATTTATATATTAAATAAAAATTGTCTTAAAATGAATTTTTAAGTAACACAGAAGAGATAATAAAACTATGAAGTACTTGATATTTATCCCCAGACAACACTCATAGGAGAGTCAGCACAACCAATTAAACCAATCTTAAATTATTAGATTCAACTATAATTTAAGAACATAAGTGTTTATTTTTTTTTCTGAACTCTCCTCTCCTCCCCTCAGTCTAAGCACAATAAAAGTAGGGCTTTGATGTCTTCTCTGTTGCATCTTCAGTGCCCAAAACAAAGTCTGGTACACAGGTAAATATAGACTGATAACTAAGTCAAAATGCCTTGAGTATATTAAATTTCATTCACTAATTCATTCTTTCAAAAATATTAAGCACTCACTACGTGTCAAGCACTGTTCCTGATGCTGGGGACATTGTGCCTGAGACATATGAAGTCTCTGCTTTCATAGTTTACATTCAATAGAAGGAAGAAAAGAATAAAGAAATCAACAAACAAAGAGAATTTCGATTATGATAAATGCATTTAAGAATCTAAAACACAGTAATACTGTAGAGTCTCTGAGGGGAAAGGGGTCAGCATTACATCAGGTGGACCAAGACGAGTTTGGTGGGGGTACTGGGTGGTGAGAAGCAATGGCACTGCCCAGGCCCCCGCAGTCTCATCCCTCTTTCCTGTCCCAGGAGGCAGAGGGGCGGGACCTTGGACTGTGACCTGGCCGGTGCCCTTCTCCTTCCTGGCGGCGGCCCATTTCCCCTTAGCTGGGGATGGACCGCTCTGGGCCAGGGCTGCCTCCAGCAGGGTAGGAGCCCTGTGAGAGTTGGTAGGCCAGGCCAGGCCAGGCATGTCACTATGGGGCCTGCTGCTGCACCAGTGACAGGAGCGGCGCTCTCGAGGGAGAACTGGGCATCCAGGCTCCCAAGGCTCCCCCACGTGTTCCCTCTACCAAAGACGGTTTCTTTTAAGAGGGAATATTTTTCATCTGAATGATGAAGTATGTCTAGCATGAGAAGTTCTGGGGACAGAGCATTCCAGGCAGAGGAAATGGCAGACAAAAGGTCCTGAGTTTGATGCTCCAGTGAAGGAAAAAAAGTGACCAAAAAAGAGAGACCTCCAGATGAAGACCTACTACAGCAATATGTAAATTAACTGTTCAAATTTTTGCCTAAGTTTTACTTCTTAAAATAGAGTTATTTGGGTACATTTTAATCTTTTCTCTCTTCCAGCTTTGCTGATGGCATCTGCCTAAAGCAGCACTCTAAAAATATCAACAAAGTTAAATTATTATGTTATTATACAATTTTTACATTTTTATAAATGGATTTTAATCCTAACCAAATCTAATAGCATTTATGTGATAGGAAAGACTTTCCCATATCTTAAATTATTAACACTTAGAGTTTTGTTACAAATAATTTAAAAACAAAAAACAAACCATATTCCTATAAAACGTCTGTTTAAGGAAAACATATTAAATAAGGTTAAATGATAGATAAAAATGTTTAGATTATCCACTCCCGCCCAGCAAGCTACTTCAAAACATCACAGATTAAAACAACAACTATTTTATCTGCTCATGATTATTTTCCTGTGGGAAAGAATTCAAGCAGGTCACAGAAAGGGCCTAGAAGCAATGACACCACAGTAACAATGAGCATATATATACCCTAGTGTCCAGGTCTTTGTTTCTAAATATCACTCTTCCATAAAAGGAATTGGGATTCCTTGGAGAAACGGTTCATTCCACAGCTGGAAGAGGAAAACTACTAAATGAGTATAAAATACCTTATAATATCAGACAGTTAGGAAGTAGTCCCCCTCCGCCTTCACCAAAAAAGTGCATGTCTAAAGGACACAGGAGCCATCTTAAAGGAGCTCCCAGTGGCGAAAGCTGGAACAATCTGAGCAACAAAATTAAAAATGATAGTATTGGGCTTAACCCACAGGAAAAAAAATCATTATCCATTAGTCCATATTAATATAAAGAATAAATAAATGGGGGAGAAGAAACAGTTCTTCAAAATAACAGAAGAATTCAAATTAACAAATGTAAATGAGAGAAAGAAGAAACCATGATTAAGTAAATACTACAGAAATAACTGCTGTAGGCAAAAACCATCATTTATATGCTAAAATTAGTGGACAAAATATTTTGAGAAATAGGATACTTGCACTGTCTCACAGTATCCACCATTGGAACTTTCCATACTATTTTTGAAAATTTCTTAAAAGCCTAAAATTACTGCAAAACAAAGTATTAAAAATAAAAAGAATTCTGTCAGAGCCCTGCAGTGACAGCTTGTCTCTGCTCCTGATGTCTGGTGTCTCAGGTGGCTGAAACAGCCCAACTGGGCTGTGTGTCTGACCCTCAATTCCAGTATCTACTGGTTCCTCCTTTCCCCTCAATGTGGCTAACTTGAGGCTCATCCTGGCTAACTTAGGGTTCATCACATTCTGTTGGTCAAATTCAGTCATAGGGTAAACCTAGACTCCAGGGAAGGGGAAATGTATGCTGCCTATCAGTGGGAAGAGTAGCAAAGAATGTGTAGGCATCTTTAATAGACAGCAATGAGGGTATAAAAACAAGGTATTCTCCTCGCATGACATTATGGACTTTCCTTTTTTTTTTAAATGGAGATACTGGGGATTAAACCCAGGACCTCATGCACTCTACCACTGAGCTATGAACTTTAGTAAGCCATTTGTTACCCCAAATTTCTCCCATTTCTTACAACTACAGTACTGACATTTGGACCAGATAATTCTTTGTTGGGTGGGGGGAAGAGGAGGGGTCTCCTGTCCATTGCAGGATGTAACCAACACTCCTGGCCTCTATACACTAGATGCCAATAGCAAGTCCACTCTCCACTCCCTCCAGTTATAACAACCCAAAATGTGTGAAGACATTGCCAAATGTCACCAAGTGGAGAAACACTGCTGTACAAGGGATCAGGGAGAAAAATACTGAAAATACATTTCCTTACAAAGAAACTTCAGGTTGAATCTGAATACATGTTTTGGATGTGTTCACTATGTGAAAATTCACTGTGCTGCACACTTAAGTTCTGTGTACTCTGCTGTTCATACGGCGGGGGGGGGAGAATTTATACTGTAATTAAAAGGCTTACTCAAAAAAATACAAAACCATAGAAGGCTATTATCGGCTTTAGAAATGGTCCATCATTTTGTATTTCCTCTTTGATGAATAGTTTGCCAGTACATGTAAAATATGGCGCTCATACCAAAATTTTAATTTAAATGAATTTTTCAACATATTAATTATATAAAATGATTATATATTCTCAGTCAGAATCTGTTAAAACTAAAATAATTATATTGTCAGTTCATTTATTAAAACCCTGAATTATGATAAAACTGGCTTACCTGTATATATGCCTTTTGAATGGCTGAAAGTTCCTCACCAAGGGGAACAACAATCTTTTCAACTCGTCTTTCATGAGAATATGGCAAAATATCTGGAGAATCTTCAGAACGAAGCTCTATCTGCCCAATTAGTAGATTAGTAATAACTTGTTGCACAGCCTACACAAAATCAAGTATGATTATAAATTAAAAATCACATGTTAAATTTTTTAGTTTGTCACTAATAGAAACAAAGTAGCAATAAATTTTTGAAAGAGACAGTAGAAATTCATATCATTAAATATTTTTTAAAAACTATAAATTATAGCACCAGAAGTGGCATAATAGGGGGAAAAGGCTTTTGAAACATCCTTCCTGCATGCAGCCTTTCAAGCCAAGCATCCAAGAGATAAGAATATTAATAAATGTCCAACAAGCTCCTCAAATGTATTTTGTACTTTCCAATGACAGTGATATATTCCATCAACATTTATAAAGGCTGAGACAAAATAGAAGTTTTAGATTAGCAAACTAAATCCTCAAAATATTATATAACAGTCAATTTTAGAGTCAGAACTATAACCCAGATTTCCCGATTCCCTGGCAAACACTTTTTTATGTGTTTTTTTTAATATGATTTTTTTGTGGGGAAAACAGAGAAGACTTGTTACTATTAAAGGATACAAATGCATCTTAGGAATACTTTACAAGTTGACTTGTTAAGAAATTAAGGGCAAGGGTCCTATACTAAATCAATTATTAATAAATTAGTAGAATATTCTCCATTAAATCAATATACATTATGTGAAAATATTTGCAGAGCTAAGTTTCATTCACCCAAAGCTTATAAAGGAACTTAATTGTAAAAATAGGGAATTGGAGCCAAAACACAAAACCTATTGGTATAAACTGCTGTACCATTAGACCACAGTACGGAGTGTGATGAAAAGAAAGGAAGGAAGGGAGTGAGGGAAAGAGGGAGAAAGAATACAGAAAGTATCTAGAAATTAAGAAGTTTAAAAAAAAAAAAAACAGCAGAGCCTCATGGGCTTGGTTTCAGACAAAAAAAACTCTAGGGTAAGAATAACATTTCAATCACTTTTGTACTCCCAGCACCTAGCATAGTGCCTAACACAGTAGTACATTATAGTTACTGGAGGTCCACATACATTCAAAATCTACAGTAAATGTATGACCATTTTGAAAAATTAAGTAAGACTTTAGTATTCTTAATCATTCATTCATTCAATAAATATCTAACTCCGACATACCAGGAGTTGAGTTGGTGACAGAGGTATAACCACAGTAGACATAACCCCTACATCCGTGTAGCTATTTAGTTTACTAGTCTTTGCAAAAAGACAGCAAACAAATGAATAAGCAAAAGAATGACAGACTGTGATAAATATTAAGAATAAAATCACAAGATAGAAGGAGCTGACTTTTGGTAGCTTAGAGTGAATTTTTCTGGAGAGGTGATATTTAAGCAGAGACTTAAAACAATCAAGCATGTTTAAAGAACGTTGGGAGGAAGAATCTCTAAAACTCATCGAGGCCATGAACAGAAGGAAAAAAGTCTTATGGTTTGGCAGAGTTGAAAGCTATCTTAGAAACTATCCAAAACCCAATACAGGGGGAGGGTATAGCTCAGTGGTAGAGTGCATGCCTAGCATGCACGAGGTCCTGGGTTCAATTCCCAGTCCTTCTGTTTAAAGAAAAAATAAGTATATAAATCTAATTATCTCCCCCTCAATTTTTAAATATGAAATTTAATTTAAAAACCCAATACAGAAGACCATTCAGAGCTACTAAATCAGAATGTCATGGAATAGGGCTCAAAATCTGTATTTTTACCATCCAGCAATAAATGAAACTTAGGAAGTGTTCAAAACAAAGAAGTGCTTTCTAACAGACACAGGAGGCATTTTCAAGGCACTCCCAATGGCCAAAGCTAGAAAAGTCTGAGCAACAAAATTATTAATGATAGTATTGGATTGTAGCCCTTCCCGAAAAATCCGTTAATCCATATTGATATAAGGAACTGAACCAAGAAATAAATGGAGAGAGACAGCCCTTCACTACAGAAGAATTCAAATTTTAAAATGTAAAAGAAATGAGGGAGCGGGAAAAATAATGATTAAGCAAACAGCACAGAAATAACTGTTGCAAGCAAGAACCATGACTAGATGCTAAAACAGATTACAAAGTCTCACAGTATCTCGCCTACAACAGACGTAATTACAAAGGAAAAACAGTCATATTACAATGGGAACCAGGAAGTCATCATCTTAACCAAGTCAAGATTAACAGCACCGGTAATAAGACAAATCATCATGTAGTCTCTGATACAATGCGTTGAGAAAGGCACAGCATCAGTTCTGGGATATTCTTGCCAAAAATGCATAAGGTGACTCCAACATCAGACATACCCAAATTGAGGGATATTCTACAAAATACTTGGCACCTACTCTTCAAAAGCATCAAGGTCATGGAAGACAAGAAAAGAATGAGGAACTGTCACAGACTGGAAGGTATGGAGGAAACATGACAACTAAATGCAATGTGGGTCCCTGGACTGGGCCCTGGAGCAGAAAAGGACACTGGTGGGAAAACTGGCAAAATTCAAATAAGGTTTGCAGATTAGTTACTAGTATTGTACCAAGGTTAATTTCCTAGTTTGATCATTTTACTATGGTTATATAATATGTTAAGATTAGAGGAAGCTGAGCGAAGGACCTAGAAACTTAAATTTTTGCAAATTTTCAAGAAATCTAAAGTCATTTCAAAATAAAACTTAAGAAGAACTGAAAACAAATTTAACAAACAAAAGGTGATTCTCTGACACACTAAAGTCTGAAAATTACTAATGTAGAAAATCCGCAACCGTCAAAGAAAAGACAGGCATCTTATAAGAAATATTGTAGTCCTGATGCCAAACTAAACACTAGAATGGGAAACTGATCTGGCCAAATACAAAAGTTCTTATTTTCTCAAATGTTAATAAATTTTACTTACCTTTATATCACTACCTGGTGTGGCACTAAGAGCCAAGATTCTAAAGTGATTTGTATATTTGACTAGTTCTCTTACAACCTTAAAAAAAAAAAAAAACAATTCTTTAATTTCATCTGCCCAATACAAAAATTAAAATGATTCTGTTAAACAAGCTATTATATATGGTCCATTATCATTAGTCCTTATTTAGAGTATTGATGGTCTAGCTGATAGAACTACCATTAGTTATGTTAACTGAAGAGCAAATGATTGAGGTTTATACTCTACACCAACTGAAAATATTTTAGGGTTTCTTCTATATATAAAGCAATAGCATCAAAGCCTATACAAAGGCACATCAAAATACTTGGAGGGCTAATTCAAGGGCAAATGATAGAAAAAGAGCGAGTCTATTCTCCATTGCTTCGACCACAGTCAAGCTTTATGCACACTTGCCGATTAAGATAAACCACTTAACGTAAAAATAGAAACAAATTTAAATATCAATATGAAATTAGATTTGAAATGGAAAAAGATTTGTTTTAGGTAAGATTTTAAAGATGTTAGATTTCATGAGGAAGGCTCACAATTTTTAAATTAAACTTATTCGTAAGAGAAAAAGGCTAATTTGGGGGTTATTTAAAAAATCTAACTTCTCTTTTAAATCCTAAAACATTTTCTATGTCTCACCAAAGCATCATTCCAGGCTTTGCAGTTTGAATTCAACATCCAATGCTGGTATAATTAATACTGGCTAATTTGCCACATTCCCATATGCCCCTTCACATGAGGCCTCATGCAAGGAAAAAGGACCCCTAAGTAAACTGAGTTACAGGAACAGCTCTCAGCATCCAATAGTTCCACATTAGATATAAGAAATTAAAACCAGATTATCTTTTTCTTTTAGTATTGAAGTATAGTTGATTAACAATATTATATTATATGTGCAGTTTCAAGTGCACAGCAAAGTGATTCATTATTTTTGCAGGTTATATTCCATTATAGGTTATTACAAGATAATGGGTGTAAGTCTCTGTGCTATACTGTAAATCCCTGTTGCTTAACTGTTTTATATATAAAGTGTCTGTTAATCCCATACCCCTAATTTGTCCCTCCTTCTTCCCTCTCCCCTTTGGTAACCACAAGTTTGTTTTCTATGTCTGTGAGTCCGTTTCTGTTTTGTATATACATTCATTTGTATTATTTTTTAGATTCCACATATAAGTAATATCATATAGTATTTGTCTTTCTCTGATTTATTTCACTAAGCATAATATTCTCTAAGTCTATCCACATTGCTGCAAATGGTAGTATTTCATTCTTTTTTATTGCTGAGTAACATTCCATTGTATATATACCACATCTTATTAATCCAGTCATCTTTTGATGGGCATTTGGGTTGCTTCCATCTTGGCTAGTAGAGTGCTAAAATCAGATTATCTTAAAACTGCCCTGATTTCAACCTATGTCAAGGATAAATTCAACAAGAGTAACACTGAATCTCAACCAGTACTCCAAAATATTATTTATGGAGTTTTTAAATAATGTAATACAGAATGATAGTTACAAAGATACAACACCATACTTTAAGAAGACTTAAGTACAACTGTCCTAATTAAAAGCTGATACAAGACAAAATGTCCCTGATACATTACTTTTTTTCCAGAAGGAATTTTCAAGCATTTTGTAGTGTAAGTGATATTGTGTTTGCAACCCAGAAAGCTACATTCTTCAATAAGCTATGTTCCTATTGGAAACTATATCTGGAATATTCAATGTAGCATAAACTCTCAGTTGCTGTTTGATATTAAAAAAGTCAGTCATGTCTCATCACACTCAATGAAAGCGTAAGACTTGTAGAAAAAAAAAATCACCTGATGCCTAGAAATTTTTTTAAAATAAAGTTCCTAAATATAAGCTAAGTATATAAAATGAATTCCATGGAGTTAGAATAAAAAATTTTACATGCTCTTCTCAAGCAGAAACCTTAACACACTAGGTATTAATTTAACTTGTAAAGATACGAATAATGGAAAAAATATATCCATTTCCTCACTGAAATTAACTCTAAGAAAGATGACAATATTCAAGAAGATAATACAGAAATATAACACAGTAACACTTAAAAGTCCCCAAGGAAACCTCACAAAATCACAAACTGGCAATGAAATTCATCTCTTGGCACTAAATAAAATCGACTTTCCCTCTATTCTAACTCTATACTCTCTCCCTAGTATCACCAATTATTGTAGTTTTAACTACCTACCACCTATATGCTGATGATTTTCAAATCTGTATCTCCAGCTCAGAACTCTCCACTGAGGCCTGTACCTCTCTGTTACCCACTGCCCACTGGATATATACAGCTAGGCTCCTCACAGACACCTCACACTCAACAATCTAAAACTGCACTCACTCTTTCCACAATACCGCAGATGTTCTCTGCCTCAAGAATTCTCCATCTTGACTAACAGCATCAACATCTTCACAGTCTGCCAAGTCATAAACTTGGGAGTCATCCCAAATTCCTCCTATCCTTCACTGGACACCCTGCCTTACCTTTCTTTCCTCTAATCTCTTTTAAATCTGAATTATCACCCCAGCCAAACATTTTTCAGTAAGTCTCTACCACCTATATCCCCTATGGCCTACAAGGTGTATTCAAACTGCCAAGCACAGAATACAAATGCCTTCTTGACCTAACCTTTAAGCACCTCTCTAGTCATATCCCACCTCTTCACCTTTGTACTTCACTCCCGCAGTACTTACTTCTATAGGAAGGCAGTGTTAGGTATGTTTCATACATTGATGTCCTTCAATCCTTTAAACAATGCTGGTAGTTGAGTGTTATTTTACCTAGCTGCCAAGGAATGACACTACATATCCACTACCAATCTTTTGACTATTATCTTAGTTCCAAATCTCCATCCATACCTTACTTTGGATCATTGGATCACTGCCTCAACCATTAGGAGACTCTCATCATGCACTTCTGACACTGATGGTCTTGTTATGACTTAAAAAAAAAAAAAAAAAAACCAGGGAGGAGAGTATAGCTCAAGTAGTAGAGCTCATGCATGCACAAGGTCCTGGGTTCAATCCTCAGTACTTCCTCTAAGAATAAATAAATAAACCTAATTACCTCCCCCCACTAGGAAAAAAAAACCAGCAGAGACACTTATTTGAATAGATAAAGGAAAGTATTTCCTATCACCATCTGTTCTGAGGTAATAGATACAAGGCTTTTCATAATAATAATACAATCAATAACCTCCATCATTCATAATTATTCCTGCAAATGCTATTTAACAATGTTTACACTATAATACACTTTTTAACATAGCGTTACCTGGCAATAAGCATAGTTTCCAAGAGCTTTATGGGCTTCATCAATAACTAGACACTTTATTTCAGCAGCTGGACAAGCTCCTCTAGAAAGATCATTTATCATGACTTGAGGTGTAAGAAAAAGGACTCTCTTACTGCCCCATATTTCCTTCCGGGTAAAAACTTGAGTAGATCCTGTAAATAAAAGTGACACAGTACATTCTAAACTCCAGACTGTTATCTGTAACATATAAATAACTTGGCCTGTTTTCAGTATGCATTCTTGTTTTGGTAATCTGCTTCCAAAATAACTGGACAAACCATCAGAATGTAAAATTTTAAAGCTTTGTTGTAATCCAAATGTCAATGCTGGCTCTTACTGAAAACTACAACTAGTCTGCCTTAGATAATTCCTACAAAATAACATAATATTTAAAAAGAAGAAAACTCTTCAACTGGGAAATCCTTCTGGGGAAGAAAGTCAGGAAACCTCATGTTCACTTACCGATGAGGTATTCACACATAATCACTTCAAAGTGCTCTGACATTGATACGGGAATTCTCTGAAGATTGAATAAAGCAATCCTATTTATTAGAGCTGAACTTGCTACAAGCCGATGATGTTTTAAAGTAGAGGACGTAAGATAAGCATATTGTGATCCAGGGAATATTCCACATGGGTGCCCAACTGTTGATTTCAAATTAGCCCACCGTTTCTAAGATACCTGTCATTTCGGCCATATGAGATTGCGGGATACCCATCACTCGGTAGCAAGCCTCGATCTGCTGTGTCACCAAAGGTTTCGTGGGGGCCATGAAGACCACCTTGCCGGAAGGGAACCAGCGGTAGAAATTGTACATGACCACGGCGGCAATAAAGGTCTTTCCCAAGCCAGTGGGCAGACACACCAGCGTGTTGCAGAACAGAGCGGTCCTGGCAATGTGCAGTTGGTAGTCCCGCACTGGGCAATTAGTAGGATAAATCCACAGGGCGCCCGCTGAGGTGCAGAACCCGCCATTCTCTAGACTCAGCTGCCGCTCTGCTTCGTACACTGCGACCAGCAACACATCGTCGTCCGACTCGGGCTGAGCCTCGGCAGCCTCTGCCTCCTTTGCCTCCTGTGCCGCTGCAGAGAAATGAGCCGTGGAGTTGCCAGGGCCCCGAGGCGGCTCAGTTCTAGAGCTGCAACTCGGAGCCCCAGTGGAACGGGAGACTTTTGAACCCCAAGTCTGGAAAAGCGTTCTTTGCTGTCCGCTCATTAGGCCGACGACCACCAAAGGCTTCTCTCAGACGCGAGCAGCTGCTGCCGCTCAACAACCTCAGTTCCAATCCCCATCGGTTACCCTCGCATAAAAAAACCGTGGAACCAGAGGGCGGGACCGAGGCCAGTTTATCCCGTTGAAAATGCCGCCACTGAGTCTGCGCTGGGAATATGATTGGCGGGCTTCCCGGAAACCCCACGGCCTGCCTGGGACGCGTGCGCATTGTGATGGAGCAACTCTAAATTTGGTCCCCTTGTCAATTTCTTTTCGACTCTAAATTTGGGTTCCGTTTCCAGTGGCTAGATGTCCGGGCTTCACTCCTAAAGAGATGTCGCTTAAAATGATACAATAAATAACCTTGAGATCCCAAAACAATGGATAATCATTTTTTTAACTTAACGCTATTGAGCGTCTAATGTGCCTTATTCCTTGTTGTTGGTTGTACTTTTTAATTGGAAGATGAAGTGAAAAACCTGTTTAGATAGAATTAAGTAACTTAATTTCTATCCAGTCTGTGAACACAAAATGCCAAGGGTCTTTGCAGTATGAGGAGTAGCAACTCATTATCTTAGTATTTCTATTGTTAAAAGGTAAGTGAATGGTTTGGTCTTGATATTAGTTGGAAAATCCGAAGAAAAAAAGCAAGGCATCCAGAACTCCACCATTACACCTTCATACGTGATACAGAGCAGTAAGCGTCGGTGTAGTATTATTCTACTCTAGCGATAGCTTTCTACCTCAGACTTGGATGCAATTCCTGGCTTCTCCAAATTCTCTCAGTCTACTGGCGAATTTGAGTAACCTCTGTAGATTTGATTCTTCGTGTATTGAGGGAAAGTACACACACATCATGAGGTTGTTTTGAGCACTAAAAATGTCACCCCCTCCTCACCACCACCAGTACGCGCTATCCTGCGTGTAGCTACTTTAAATTGTTTTATTTGGTGAAGTGTCTTAACTTGCTTTCAGACCAAATGTTTAACTGTGCGTTTGTTCTGAAGAAGGGGAGGGGGATAGATTGTATTTTGGTTTCATTTGTGTGAGTTTTAAAAGGAAGGTGGCGGGATATGGGTTGTTCTGATGGACAAGGACTTAGCCAATTCAGGTGTGAGTTTCTAGGCTAGAACTAGATAAAATGAGATTAGATGTCTGAATGCTGTTGTTTTCTTTAAACAAGCTGTAGGCTGTAAAGGCATAGCAGCTTGTCGGTAATAAACAGGTGTGGGTAACGGCTGGTAAACAATCACAACCATCAGAGTTCGTCGGCTCACAAGGGTTCCAGTTAAGAGTAGACAACAGTTTACAGTTTTCTGCGTAGTCAGTCCCCCGGGCCACATCAGCAGGTCTTCACCAAACTCAACAAAGAGGTCCCAGCGCCCAGCCTTTACGTCACTCAAGCTCTGGCCCCAATCCCGCTGGGTAGCGCAGTGACCCCGCCCCACACCCCGCGCGGCGTCC